GCAGCAGAGCGTTCCTGTGGGCCTGGTGTTCGTGAGGGACACCCCCATCCCTCCTCTCCCCCACACGGGAGATGGGGACGGCTCTAAGGGTGGTTCATGCCACTTTCTGTCCAGGTGGCTCGGTGCCTGCCCCAGGAAGCGTGAGGTGCAGGGTGAGGCCAGTTTCACGACGACAGGGCTGTAACGCTGAGCACAGCTGTTGGCTTGGTGATATGAAGTCTCCAGAGATTAACGAGCTGACTGGTTGTTGAGAAAATGCATTCTTCAGATTTCATCCCATTTCATCAGCATCCCTCTGCCAGCACCTGCCTGCGCTTCCCACAAGGTCAGTCCCCACTTGCTCTGCACAAGTCTCTGTACAGCACAACTGAGCCTGTGAAATTTTATACAATATAAACCACAAGGGTCTGAATTTTTAAAAGTGTTTCAAGCTCTATATTAAAGATATGTAGTTGCTAATGCTAAGAATAATGAATAACATACATACCACCCCCCAAAAAAAACTACCAGTGATTTGGGGCAAAATACTTCAAACAAAGTAGGTACACAAAGCCTTTCTCAGTCTTCAAAGGCAGGACTGGCAGACTTGTGAGGCTGGTGTGCTGACAGAAATCAGAGTTAGCTTGGGTTTCAAGGTTTACTAAGGTGGGTGTTACATGTGTTGACTGTATTTGGGAAGAAAACGTAGCTTGTAGCTGGCTGATAAATAGGTCCCTGTTACGAGCAGGTAGGCATTTTGAAAGACTGGAGTGGATCATGTTATTTCTGTAGGATAAGTGAGAATAGAATTATTTGGAAGCTGCTGTTTTTAGAGAATAGATGGTAGAAAGAAGTACACAATAGGTAAGTAAGGGTGAATTGATTTTGTCTGTGATGATGGAGCAACAAGGCAGAGATGAGATACCTCCCCTTATGCAGTAAATAAATAAATGGTTGCATTTGTGTGTTGTTTCCTGAAAAGCAGAGAACAGCTGATAATTTATGCTGCCCCTAGTTCTTAGCATTACAGAGTGAATACTAGGTGTGGTTCCCCCACTCACTCAGTTCATTTGCTCTAAATAACATGTGCCTCCCCATGTTAAAACCTCTTCCTTCTGCACAATGAGAGTTCAGAGTATGTGAAGCACTTCTGGATTGGAGACACTGAAAAATCTCTTAATTAGGTTTTCCCATCAGAAAGCCCAAGTGCATTTTGAATAGTTATTTTGCTTGGGCAATGCCGTGACCAGGGTCCTGCCTTGTTCTGGAGGCCAGCTTAGACCGGAAAATGTGCATGCCATGAGAAATGGGTAAGGGGGTCATCTCCTGCCCGGGTGCATCCACCCGGCTAACCAGGAGTTGATATTGCCAGCAATGGCAGCTCTCTTCATGTTACATTGTAACACAGAGGTGGTATTCGTAAGCACCTGAGTTCAGTTTGCATTAGTTACTCTTTTACCCCTAAAAAAGATGTGTCAGCCATTTGAGGCACATGGTGAAACTCAGCACTTCTTAGCAGTTTGTCAAAAAAACTGGGAAAAGGTTAATAACATTGGGATAATTTAGTGCATTAGAATGAAGGGTACAAATGTTCTATATCTCATTAGATAAGTGTAATCCAACATTTTTTGAGACTGATACTATCATTACCCAGTCCCAAAATAAAAGCATTTCTAGCTGTTCAAATCCTTCAAAGTTCATCAGCTTGTTTGGTTTGTTTTTGGCTTTTTCCCTATCATCATTTTCAAGGTTAAACAGATATCTAAAGCACAGAAGAGCTGGGCATTTGACATTTCCCTGTGTCCCTGGCTTTTCTTTCATGGACATCTTGCTTCTAAAATGCAAATAAATCTGCCTGTGAAGAAATGCCTCTCAGAAGTACATATCTGTTAGTTCAGTCTGCAACTGGCTCATGGGTTTGCAGAAAAAGGAAAGAAATCTTCAGTGTTGAAGTCTGTAGGTCTCTTGTGGTGCCCCTTGATAAGTAAACCTATAAAGCTCGTTGGTTTTGTTTTATTTAATTTCAAGTTGCTTTTAAACAAACTCTGACCAACAGTAATTTCACCTTTTGTTTTTCACCTGGTCCTCGTTGTCTTATGACCCTCAAGAGAGAAAAATGGAATATTTGGCTAAAATCTTACTGACTTCCTGTGCTGTTAGGGACCTGGCCTTCCTTTCTTCTCTACTGGTGTGTAAAAGTTTCATCATTTTCTTACCATGGCAAGGTAACATAACCAGGATGATACAGGTTTTCTGAAGATAGTATAGCTGCTGCTAATGGAAGCTGCTCTGAAATTAAGTTAAGGCAGGAAAGTAGCAAAAGTAGATGGAGCCCAGCTTGTTTCCCTTGATTCAGACAGCCTGAGGAAAGGCTGGGAAGGACTGTATCCCCCGAGAAAAGCAGATGGGGCAGTATGTAACATTTTTGCCAAAATTTGAGCTTTGAAATAGTCTAGGAAATAGTAGAATAAAGAAGTCAAAATTCCTACAGGAACGACACAGTAAAGAAAGAGCATTTGTGATTGATTCTGTCCTTCCTTATAGCACCTGGGGGTTATAGAATTTGGCATGCAGTCATGGACTAAAAAGCTGTAACAGCAGACGGATCACCTTGGCTGTAGTTGCCTTGTCCTTGCTTGCAGTGATAGCTTCATGGTACAAGAATAAAATGTTCTGTGTCTATTGATCCATCAAGCATGTCCTCCATTTGATTAGGTTCTAGGAATGCTTTTTTTTTTCCCCCACATCCATAAATTATTCCCAACAAAGTTTTCATAAAAATGTGGCTTTTGTTTTTAATCAGTTATGTAAACACTAGTAGATACAGCCATGCTAAATATTTTATTAACTGAGCATGGAATCAGGCTGCTGAAAATCTGCTGGGGCTGAAAGCATGGGTTGGGGGGAAGAGACTAGCGTGGTGTGTGCTGGGCAATGCTGCAGTGCGAGTTCAGTGTAATCCTGCTGGGGAGGGGGCTGGGGCAGTGGTGCTGCCCGGGCTGAGGGGTACTGCACTTGGGGGTGAAGGTTACTAGTATGGTAAGGGAGTATGTGCTATCTCTGGGTCACCTGCTCTCAGGTTGCACCCCTACAGATTGTAGCTGTTCCTCACAAACAACTGTAAGCGTTGTGAAATGTATTTGCTAAGTGGGGACCCTATGTAACGTGTGTCTCTAAACGATATTATTGAAAGAAATGCTGAAATGTTAGGCGTGAACGTTTCTCTGTTGGGAGTTGCTTCCTGCTGCCATCTTTTTCTCATAGAGATACTGTCTATAAGGCAAGTAGTTAGTAAATATTTTAAATACCTTCCCCTTTTCAGCATGTGACTCCACTAGAATACCTACCTTATCATGGAAGATAAAGGCTTGCTTGCTCTAGTGGGAGATGGTTCTTCTCAATGAGTTTGTGCTTCATTACACAATAAATTGCCTTTTAAGTTACTTGTGGTGTGATAATCTTAAGTTTCAGCTGCAATGGGCACTGCCATAACTACTGAAGTAAAACTGCCACAGGGCAGATTTCAAGAAGTAGGCCTTTTACAGTAAAACATTTTTTTTTATTTAGCATCTTCCCTGTTAGTACATATTTCAGTTCAGTGGGAGTTTAACCACCTGAGTGGTGTAACTTTTGTCTGGTTTACCCCCAGCCCCAAAGTAGGTAGGCAGTAACCAGCTAACAAGCAGCCCACCACCCAGCTGTGGGGAGCAAGACATTACAGCCAAGATTGTCAAATATAGCTTCTAAAGGAATAGCTGGGTGATAACTGGCATCTAGGTGAAAAAGTGGCTCCAGATCACCTCTGTGCTGGAGTTTAGCTGTGGGGAAGACAGACCCAGAACTGCCCTGGCAGAAAATACATTGTATTTCAGAGCATGTTGAAGCTGAAGTCCCCCACTGCAGCTGCTTAAGTTCGGAAAAATATTTTTCATTATTCCTTCCTGTTGCCTCCAGAAGAAAATGAGGCTTATAGTGTATCTAGCAACGTTGATTTTGAACAGTTTGAATGTAATGAGAAGGACCATTTAACTACTGCTATTAAAGCTTCAGTAGCAACAACAGTCAGTATAGATTTATCTCACATAAGACTACATCAAAACATTTTCAGGGAGTGTGTGTTCTCAGACTGCACAAGATCAACACGCACATACCATCATTAGGAACACACTGTATCAAGCGCAGATTTGAGTACTCCTGTGTGAATAACCTTGAATCTTTTTCCAAGGCAAGATAGGGTAGTTAAAATACACAAATTTGTTGCTTCAGCATTACTTAAGTAAATATCTTGCTATTTAAGAATGTTGCATTAAGGATAAACAAAAATAGTTTCTCAAATCAGCTCTTTACTAAGTTATAGGAAAGCTGGAGATTTGGCTGAGATAACATAGTAATCAGTAAAGAAATTTGCTTTAAGATCAGCATCAGCCCCAATTCTACTTGGTTAACTGCTGGAGGTAAGTTACATGTTTTCTGTTGGCAAGAGTCAGTGAGAGATAGGCAAGAAAAAACACTAATTTTTATCTGCCTTATCTACCAACTGGATGCTTTTGTTCTAGCACAAGTATAGCTAGTACCCTGCTCCTTTTAGCCTGCTGTGGGACAGGCCGTTTGTATGCATTATTCTTCCCGTGTACCAGTGTCTTAGCTATTGCTAAGACAGAAGAAGTTAAAAAACATTTGTTATCTTAAGAAAAAGTTCAATGTGCAAGGGAACTAGCTGAAAGTCCCCTTCACTGCATCTGTGTGATAACCATTTTAAACTCATCATCTCCCCACTTCATACAAGTTTAGGGAAAACCCTGCATTAGTACAATTGTTCTTTTGGAGAGATTAATTCATTACACAATTGAGACTCAGTTTCACTGAGCAATAGCAGAAACTGAGACAGAAGCAGAATAGTTTTAGAAGTTTATTGTAAAGACCTTTACAATCTCAGTACAGAGATAAGGATATAAAATGATGTTGTTTGGAGTATTTAAGGCTGGTTCGTGGTCATCTGAATTTCACTGTTCAATGGAACTCAAGCAAGAGCAACTGATTTCTGACTGTACATATTTTTATTTGTGTTCCATCATTACAGTGAGATCACAAGTTATTTCAGAGACTCAATGCCTGCTTATTATAAAATAAAGGACATTATTTACATGATGAAAGAAAAATTTCAGCATTTTAGTGGAATGGATGACTGATACTGCAACAAGTTTAGTCCACGTATTTTCCAAGAATGTCACCATCTCTAAACAAGTAGTAGTCCTGCAAAGAAAAGAAACATGAGTACCTGTCATTATCAGTTGTTTTGCAAATAGTGTCTTGTTCTGAAGTCAGGGCTACCACAGTCACAAAGTACAAAATCAAAAGTGAGCTAACCAACACTAGCCCTACCTTTTGACTTCTTGAAAATATTTTTTATTTGTTTGTTCCTAAGATACCCTTTGGGAAAGCTACCAAGTTACTATTTTTAGTAGTACTAAGTGCAAGAACTGTTAGGAGACAATTGTGCAAGCTTTTCCTGTCAAATCAAGGACACCTCCAGTAATTTCAAAGCCTCTTAGTGTTCCCTCTACTATATGCCTGGAATTGGGAGCCACTTCATTCACCCAGCAAAGGTCAAGCCAGAGGTTTCTTTAGTTACTTCCTTTTAAGCTGGGGTGGAAGTAGCAAGTACTGCAGGTACCAGAAGCTGGCTGGATTCAGCTGCTGCCACTAGAATACTAACAACTGCATTTCTTGACTGCTGCTAACACTATGAAGTATCTACAATATTTATCACTGGCCACACGACATTTTGGGAAGCAGCTTCATTTGCATTCACAAAGTTGGACAACCTACCTTATCCTCTAGTACAATCTTTGTACCACCATACTCTGGTAGCAAAACCTTTTCACCAACTTTTACACTCACTGGCTGAATCTCACCATTCTGAAAGAGAAAATAAATCCTTAGTTTTCCACAATGTAGACAGATGTAATAGAATTCCTCCAAACTACAATGATCCATCCACATACAGAACATTCATGACATCACAACAACTCTGTATTTTTGTTGTACAGTGAAACTAGAATATGCTAGGACAAGAAGCACACCACTCAATTCTCAAGCACTGGAGTCCTGCAATATTTGGGCAGTGATCTTTCTGAATATAATTTAATTTTCATTTAGTTTTGAGTGTAAATACAACTGTGAGGTCTTCACTTGACATACTGAATAGGACTTCACTGACAGAAAAAAGCACCCAGGAAGCCTGAGAAATTAAGTGACAGACCATGAAACCTCCTTCGAAAAATGAAGGGAGAAAGTCCATTTCCATATTGTGTAGTCAAGGCTAATTTCTACAAGTGCCAGTTAAAGTACCTTCCTATCCTTGTCACTTTGATCAAATTGTCACCATTGCTAGCAAATCAGTTTAATTATACAGTTTAATTATACTTTTGTATTATAAATAAAAGAGTAGCACATTAGTCAAATATTAGCACAATTTCACAATATAAAGCTTTAAAAATCAGACACTGGCACAAAACAGCATGTGTGTACAGAGGGACGCACTGTAAAGAAAAAGTCTGAGTCAACATGCCCAAGTTGAAATTTAACCTGTTTTCCACTATTGGTACTAACTGAACACTACTTTGGTGGGGAAAAAAACCCTTCTTACACTGAATTCTGTAGCCACTGTTGTTTTTGTGAAGACTGTCTTTTTTATGATCCCAGAAGCGTATTCAACGTGCAAAGTTAACAAAAAATTATTCAATACTTATTTTGATTCCTGTTTGTCCGGTAAACCTTATCCTTATGGATAATACTTTGCACAGCACAAGACAGTGAATGCTACATTCTGGGATTCGACCCTGCTCACAAGTCACAGAAATTCAGGCATGTAATAATTTTAACAAGGAAGGCTGCCGGTCCTTCAAGGTTTTGCCTGAGAAGTAAAACACTGTTTATGTATTTAAAACTAAAAAAACCAAAACCCACCCAACCAAAATCACAAACAAACCACAAAAAAAAACCCCAACTCACACCACTACGGTTTAAGGCTTCTTATAAATATCAGTAAATAATATTGTTTTTTAAAAGGCAAGTATCCTCCATTTTACAAATGGTTAAAGGAAGACTGGAATTCAAGGTCAGAGCCAGTCTGGAGAATTTGAGATTTCTGCCTCCTCTTTGAATCTGTACTTCCAACTTCACTCACCGACACAATTCATTTCTGTGAGCTATCACTAAATTTACACTGCAGCCATCCCTTATGACAATATTCCAGCTACCACCACACCATTACTTTTCTACCCAGATGTAATGTTTCAGGTTATTTACCTTTCCTCTGGCTCCTGATCCAACTGCTACTACTGTTGCCTGTAGCACCTTCCCTTGAGCTTTTTCTGGAATCATGATGCCTCCTTTGGTTACTGTCTCAGCCGCACATCGTTCAACCAGGACACGATCAAAGAGGGGAAGAAACTTCCTAAATGCTTTTCCTGCCTGTAGAAGTAATGGTACATTGTAATAAGACAAATATTACAACGAAATTGCAATTTAAGAGAGATTTTTAAAAAATTATTCCTATTTTGAGAGAAATTAATAGTTTAAGAAAACTGCTAAGCATTTATTTTTAATAGTAGCAAATATATGCCACCTTTTATTGCATCAGAAATTGCTAAAGACACAAGCAGATGCTGGGCAATCCCAACAGTTCAGCCAGAAGATGTACTTCAGCCAGGGGAACAAACCACCACCAGATGCAGCAGCCTCCTCCTCCGGCTCAAAAACTCTGTAGGCTTTTAATCCCAAACCCTTAGTTTGGTGAGCATCATTATTAATTATATGAACTATTTTTATTCAGTTCACAACCAGATTTAACGATGATTAAGGACAGCTGCCTTTTTATTTGTGGAGTGTTTTACAGTAAAGAAGCAAAAGTCTAGCCAGGTACCCCATGTCAGTCTTTTTTAGGCATTTTCAGGTCTTTAGCATTTCTCATAATGATATACAGCCTCCAAAGTTTGAACTCTGAAGCGAGAGTGCTGTTACTTGCATCGACTTCTACAAATAGACTGCAACTTTACAAGAAACGTTAGGTGTAAGTCCCTACAAATAGGAAGGTAGGCATACTTCTACCTTGACTGCTTCTGTATCTGCCTCTACTTAAGCAGAGTTACGGTGGTTTTTTGATTATTATTTGGAGTTGTTTTTTTTTTTTTTTGCAACTACTTACTGCTCATTTGGGTGCATTTTGGAAACAGCAGTCTAACTCCCATGCACTAGATAACTGCAAGCACCGAATCCCAACAAGCAGGGGTCAGGAAGAAGGAATTCACTTTCATTTAGAAAGTAAGATATGGCGACTTGCCAAGGCACATGGAGATAGTGCTGCCCTAGACAGGTACCCAGAGCCCACTCATAGAAACAACGAGAAACAAGGGTTTGGCATCCTGACACTCCTTAATACACACACACTCTTTAGAATTGGGAGAGAGCAAAATTACAGGCAAAGCAGGAACAAAAGACAGTACGTGAAAGACGTGTGTCCCTCCAACAATGTTACCACCACAGCGATGAAAAACAGCAAAGGGAAAAGGCTTCCAATTACGATCAGTTTCATTCTGTAAAGATTACAGCTCTGAACCTCATTTTTTTATAGGCATTCTGTGTTTAACAGAAATAAGCAATCAGACCATAACCACTGTACACTAAATTTTATTAAATGCTGATTCCTCACGTTAGTAGGATCATAAGAATAAAGTATCACTGCAAGAACTGGCCCTTGCCCAGTTCTCCTTCAAGGTAAGATCTCTATAAATCAGAGCTTGTAACACACACAAAATGAGTGTTGAAGAGCGCAGCCGGGAGGGTTTCAGGTCTATCCCCAGGCAGACACGGCGGCGGGTGCGGCCCTGCCCGCGGGCTGTTCCCATTACTGCGGGCGGGGAATAACGTTTTGCTGAAGCTCCCGGGCAACCAAAGGCAGCTCCTACGAACATCCCCGCCATGCCGCA